GCGTTTTAGATGTACTCGCGACCTTGCGAGTTCCGAACGTGGTCAAACGGGGTTGCTGCCTGAACCCTTCGTGGAGACCGAAAGGGGTACGGGGGGGGGGGGGGGGTATTCATGGTTTGCATGCCTTACGGGGTGGGGGTAGGGTGTGTGATGATAGCTGGTGTGTGGAAGGGGTCCCCTCGAATTTCGTTGGATTCCGGGGAGGGGCCAAGTGGGAAGGGCGTTTGTTTTGTTTTTGGTGAAGAGAGGATGCATTGGCGCTCTTTTGTTTTGCCTCGTCGAAGTGTCATTCGGAGGAGAAGGGGCTCTCGCGCGTCTCCACCGGGCTACAGCACGTATCCTTCTGAGAGCCGCTTTTGTCTTGTAAAACACATTCCTATAACACCGGGCACGCCTTGTACCTACCCATGTCCACCGCCACCGCTGCTATGGTCGGACCATGGCGTGTTCTTTCGTGTTGGCATGCGTTGAGCCGTTCCCTGTTGAACGGCATCATACCAACAGAATGCAACTTTTTTTTTGTACCACCTCTTACCTGTTTCCCGCTGACAACAGCAGTCGTTTGTCCGTGCTCGCCAGCGCAGGATCTATGCTTGGTTGTTTATGAATACATCCTCCACCGCAATGTAGGATTCTGCTGCTACAGTACCTGCTACTTACAGTACCTCGGTTGTTTCTATGCGCCTCCCAGGTTTGGAGAACCTGAAGCGGAGCCGCCGTCCTCCCGAGACCTCCAGAACCCCTTGGCGGCAACCGTAGACCCGGACGTGGCTGAAAGTGAGAGGGGGGGGGGGGGACCCCCCCAAATGGGTTCCGGGGAGAAGCGGGGGGGGGTCGGTCCAACGTTGTTTCTTGCCCCCTTAGGCGTTTGACACTATTTATGCGGCACGAGGAATGCGGCACCGTGTTGATAGAGATTCTCCTCCCACTTTTGGTAGTTTTTTTCGACGGAAAAGGGAACGAGGCCTGTCTCGCCGTCACTGGGATCCCTCCTCTCCCCCCTGTACCCGCCCCCATGTCAGATGTGAGGCACACGGTCGAAGCACGTCGACATGAATGGTCATAAGGATCCCCCCCCCCCCCTCCCCCGGTCGGCGTGCTCCGTCCCGGCTCTTGTAGGCATGCGACGTCAATGGTCCAACGACTACGGCATGCACGACTATGAGTACCCCTCGCTCCTTGCCCCCCGTCATCCCCCCACCCCCCAAGTGTTGAAATGAACCAAGTAAATACACGCTATTTTAACACTTTGCCGTGGTGTGCGCTATTTTGCTTCTGCCCGTGGAATCGAACACTACACACAGTGATGACCGACGAAAAGAGGTACGCGCGCTCGCAGAAGTTCAACATCTCGGACCAGATGTGGAGCATCCAGGCCGAGGAGCAGGGGCTGCAGCCCGGCGATATCTTCTGCGGGGACCCCGACAGGACTGACCCGGAGCCGATGGTGAAAAAAAAAATACCATAGGGTCTACGTTCGTTTTTTGCGACGGAAATTTGTGTTGTTGTTTGGGGGCGGGGGGCTCGGTCACTTTTGACGGGCTCTCCGATGGGGCTGAGCCACTGGAGCAATGTATGATTTGCGCGGGAGTGCACGGTGCTCTTATGAGGTCACGGATTGTGAAGACGTGCATGTTCTCTCACTACTTTCCCTTGTTTTCTTGCTGGAAGAAAGTACGAAAGAGCGGGTTGGGTGGGTGGGCGGATGGGGGCGCGCACCATGGGCGACCGAAAAAGCAGGTCTCGTCATTGAGGCCCTTGCGCCCACTCTTCCCACGCCGGAGTTTGACACGTCTATTACCATTGCAAGTCTGTCAACCGCCGGCTAGCTTTTGTGGCGTGCGTTTGCACGGGGTGTTAAACCCCGGAATCTGTTTTGATTTGTGGGTGGAGAGCGGGGAGGTTTGGATGACCCTATGCATGCGAATGCTGACCTTTCGGTGTGCGTGCGGGAGAAGGAGGGCGGGGAGGAGAAACGTAAGCCAGTGTGTCCCGACAGCACCGCTGTGTGCACGTAGCTATTTCGCCACGTCAAAGAAAACGTCTATCCTGCCCGTTCTGCTCTCACACAACAGTGTCGTGCACCCCCCTGATCAATTTTGGTTCCCTGAACGGGAACGGACGAACGGAATTGCGGTGGACTATCAAGAGGAAGGAGTTTCTTCCCATCCCTGCTCGCTCATCGTGTACCCCTTCCCGCTGTGCTGCTGCGGTCTCTCCTAAATGGCGCGCTTTTAGTGTCAGTGATTGTTGACACGTGATTTTTCGCTCGCTGCACTGCGTATTAACGTGATTCCGCCGCTGTTTTTGTTCGTTCTGTGCCGCGCAGGCGACAACGTTTCCCCACAAGATTCATATCTTCAGCCTGGACAAGACTGTGTGCAAGCAGATTCGGGACAACGATGTCAAGGTGTGTTTACCGTGTGCTGTGTGCATTGCTTTGTTTTTGATGTGTGGCGTAGGAGGTTAGAAGGCCACGATAACCGCGCCCGTCGTCGATGGGACCACCGATATATTTTTGCGGTTGTTGCCTTTGCGTCTTGCGAGGTCAGACCCCGATTTATGGGAACGAAATCTTGTCGATAAATCTTGATCTTGGTCAAGATCTGCCAGTTTCACGATTTATGGGAGGGAAATTTTCCGACATATCTTGGCCAAGATTTCTCGAGGCCCGAAATCTGCCCTTTCGAACAAATCTTGACCCAAGATCTGTCGAAACGAGCCTTCCGACAAATCTTGAGGCGGCGTAACAAATCTTGCCTGGGTGCGGCGCGATCACCGAAGGTCAGTCAACCTAATCGTCCATAACGCCATGAAATCTGCACGTGGCACACTCGCAAAGGTCTCTTAACGCACTCTGGCGTCACTGTGTTGGCGCCACGGGCGCCGACAGCGAACGAAAACGACCAAGGCGCGCGAAAAAAATGCGTATTTGCCCTGGTTCGTTCCACGCGCGTCATCACCAGTGTCGAGGGACCGTTCAAAGAGTACTTTATTTTGAAGTAGAAAAGTAGAGGAGGAGGAACGTTTTGCCAACACAGCTCTGTCGTGTGCGACGCTTCTATCTCGTCATTGAATCACCCCACACCCAATCCGTTTCCACCCGAGCCAGATCCGTGAGTGCAGATGGCAGAGCCGGAGGTTTGACCTCGGTACGCCTGCTACATAGTGAGATACATGCACGGGTGTCATCGGCTTCGGGTTGATGCACTTTCTTGTCAGTTGGACAGCAATGGAACAATTTTGTTTCTCCGCTTGACATGAGGTCGTGGGCAACGGCTTCTGTTTTGCACCCCGGGTAGGCGCCCATCGCTAGTATCCACCCATACTGTGGAGGAAATACAGCTGGGGGAGGGAAGCCCCTTCTACAACTGCGTCATGCTCACTTTTCGCCACACCTTGGCATTTTCTGTGGACCAAGTGGCCGTGGTGCCTTTATCAACTTCAAGCAGACGAGAGGAACAACACGCCGCTTTTTCAACATCCAACATATTTTCCCCCATAAGTCGCGATACTGCAAATCTTGGCGGCGATATCTTGTGAGCAAATCTTGGGTCAAAATGCCAAGATATACTTGCGAGATTCTGTTTCAATAAAGAAGGGTCTCACGCTGGCCTGCTTCTTCTCAACAACAATAAAAACAAAAAAACCACGACAATAAAAACAACAACAGCAACAACAACAACAACAACGACAACAACGACAGGCGTACTTCGATGGCTTCGGCCCCAAGTACGTGGAGTGGCTGTCGGACTGGTCGTTCAACGTGGTTTTCGACGATGCGGAGGGGGCCAAGAAGGCGGCAGCTGCCAAGTCGTTCGGCCTGCCGGACACCCTTCCCAAGGAGATCGAGGTGCGGTGCCCCCCTTCATTTGTTCATATGCGGTGCCCCCTCTCTCTTTTTTTTCCGTATATTTTTGTCCTTTCTGCTGCAAATTATGTAAGATTTTTCTTGTTGGTGCGGCCGCTGTCTAGTTTAGGCGTACGATTGTGAACACGGATTGCTCTCTTTGCTCTTGGAGAGCTCGGGAAGGGAGGTACTGTTTATGGTGAGGTAAAAGTGCTTCTCTTCGTCAAGACGGAACTAGCAGCATTAACAAAACCAACAAACCAACAACAACAACAACAACAACAACAGCAGGCCCAGCACCAGCCTTCATATTTGTTTTCCTCCTAGCCTCAATTTTTCAATTTTTCGCTTCCCGTCCTGGCGAATGACACCATCTGTTTTTTCCACTATTTCTTGTTTATTTTCAGGAATCGATCGGCGAGGAGGGGGAGGCGGTGGTGGACCTGGGGGGCATGGGGTGGAGGCTGGGCCTACCGATGTGCAAGGTTAAGAGCGACCGCCATGGGTCCAAGGGACAATGGGTGAGAGCTGGGGCAGGGGGAGGCTTCGTCTGGCTATTGGTTTTGGATTCTTGGACTGGCAGTACGTGTTTGCTCCCCGTTGCGTGCAATATTTGGATACAGTTGGATATTCTGCAGTTTCACACACGTATATCTTCATGATGCAATAGTCTACCGGTATTATAATGGGTAGGACGTGCGCGCTTTTGACAAGTTTGTTCCGGCTTGCGAGACTGTCTGCTCTTGCGACGATCAGCCAATCAGCACGTGCGAGATCTACACACGACATTACTTGTACACACACGACCTCCTTTTATCCTCCCTCAAGAACCTTGAGAAGGCGTTCATACCTACATATCCCCCAGATGCCCTCCTCTCTATTCCGCGGAACCCCGTTTTTATTTTCTTTGAAGGTGCGGCTGCTCCTGAGGTGCGCAGAGGCGCAGGATATCCTGCTGACGAGGCCGCAGGTGCCGGCCACTCCCGAGGGGCCGCTCGTGCGACGCGCGGGGGAGGGCAGGTTACCCCCGGCCGTGCTCGCGGCGCAAGGGTTGGCAGGGTGAGACGCGGGGTCTATCGGCAAACATTTTGGTACATGTTGAACGGGAACTTGCAGCGGCTTTTGCTATGCACAGTGCTAGATTTACACAGCACCAAAGCAAAGGGGCGGCATTTCGTGGGAATTAAATCCGGAGGCCGTATCCTATACGGAGAAGTATTATATTGTATCTGTTTTTTTTTTTTTTCGAGGCGTGCTCTTGGCAAGAACACGGGGGTGCGGGTGCGTGTGCACGTACGCGAGGCTCTTCGTTTGTCTTCGAGCAAGCCAAGGTCTTTTCTCGCCGTGCACCTTTTTGTCGTGAAATATCTACCATAATTGTACTATTAATATTGGATGGTTTGCTGAAATAATCACCGGTTAACAAACCCCAACCCCCACCCCCACCCCTCACGCCGTCAGTATGCAATGGATGCGCTTTGTGTTTTCGTCTTGTGCGAAACTTCCTATAGTACGGGTGCAGTTACTAACTAATTTGTCTTCGATAACCACCCCGGCCAGTCTCCCTGCCTGCTCCAGTGACGACCCACCCGAACCTGATCCGTCATGTCTTTAAATACGGGTGCGAGGGTCTGACGGCGCTATACTGCATATCAACGCAGGACCAAATTGATCGCAGAACACGCCTCCCACCCACCCCCGTTTATTTCCTTTTGTTTGGTACTCCGGGCAGGACGTTTGACTCCATGACACACAGGGATGAAGGGAGACGGCGGGACACCGGAGGCCGCCGCAAGAGAGGGCGAGGGAGCAGGGGTAGCGACGGCGACGGGGGCTACGGCGGGGACGGAGGCTACGGCGGGGACGCCGGACCTGAGGTGCAGTATTTTCCTACTCTTTTGTCTGCGTTCATTTCCCCGTTCTTGGTCTCACCCCGCCCTTGTAGCAACAGTCTACTTGTTGCTCTCGAGTACTTCCAACCTGATTTATGTGAAGACAACAACAACAACAACAACAACCTGATTGCGTAGCTAGGTCTTGGTGAAAAAACGACCAACACCTTCGAGAGACGGACCCTGAGATTTTAACTGATTGGACAGCTATTTAGATTTTTCTTGTTCTATATGCCGCTCTCCTCACGACCAACTAACTGCTGTCCGTCCATCGTTGGTTACAGTGTTCCGTCGCTTATTCTTTTTCTGTGTGTTTTTTGTCCTGTGTTCACGTTCCCCTTATTCTGCCCTTGCCTCGCATTGTTTGTTACAATGTTTCGTTTTCCTTTTATTTTTTGTAGTGTGTGCGTGTGTGTTTTCTCCAGCAATCACTAACTGTCTCCCCTGATTTATGTCCTGCCCTTGCCCTTCACCCGCCCTATGCATGCATGCACTCAGGAGATGATGGGACAAGCTCTCAAAGCGCCACGCACTTCTTCGGGCCGCAGGAGACAGGGGAGACGGTCCGACGAACGGCGCGGGGGCGGCGGGGACGCAGAAACGGGAGAGAGCGATGCAGCAGCAGCTCCTGCCGCCGCCACCGCCACCGCCGCCGCCGCCGCCGTTGACGACGTTACCCGCTCTCCCGCCGTCAAGTCCACCATCACGGCGGTTTAACTATTTGACAGGGTTCAAAACCCAGAGGAGAGGTGATGGGCCGTGTGATGCTGGGGGGGGGGGGGGGGGTTCGCTGTTGGGAAATGCGTCGAGGAAGGGTATGGTACCCCACTGCCGCGGAGTGGGGAGAAACGGGGAGGGGGTGGCCTGCGGGGGGGCTGAGGTAGCGATAGCGATGGTGTTGCCGTTGACGTCCGCTCAATGCTATGCATCGGACTGCGTAAGGTTTGTCTCGTGTCCAAGTCTCCTGGCGGGGCACGTGTTTTCCGAGCATCGATGGAACTTGCGTGCGTGGCAATCATCGTCTCCGTGAAGGCCCCTGTTTTTTTTCGCTGGGGACGCTTCTGGTGCGTATCCGACTGTTGGGTGTCCACTTTATTATTCGGGTGCTACGGGGAGAAAAAGGAGGGGTACATACGAAGAGAGAAGAACGGGCTCGCCTTCCGTGAGATGAGGAGATTTTAGTTCCCAGGGCCCTTTGCCCGGTCATCAGCTGCGTGGTCTCTCTCCTCAGCGTGCAGCACACGCGGGTTGGTGATGACCTGCGTCTTACAAGAAAAAACATGGTCATTTGAGGAAAATGACTCATGCCCCCAACGTCAAGTCTACGATATCAAACCACGAGGGAGATGTAGTGTGTAGCATGTTTTTTGTTTGTGCATGCCTTCTTGTGCCGTGCACATGTTGTTGAACAACACAGCCGGGGTAAGAAGGAGTTGGTTCGGGGCTGTTGAGGGCAGGTTTAGAGCTGGTGGTTCAATAAATTTAGCTGTACTATCTGGAGAGAATGGCGATGAGATTATACCGTAGGAGTGCTTCTTTCGTTACAAAAGGGTAGTGGTGGGTTGCTTCTGCACGCTTGACCAGTCGTTAACACACTCTGCTTGCTGGTTTGAAGAAAAGACCGGGCGCAAATAGTGGATAAGAGATTCGACCCGCACGAAGGACTCGACAAAGGACAAAGGAGAGCAAATTTGGTGCGCAAACCCCACCTCATATATATGTGAGGCGAGAACCTTTTACCTTGACTCTCTCCCACCCATATGGGGCTGTCTTCCTCCCACTGCGGTGGTTTCGCGATGTGGCGCGCGTTCCGAAAGGCTCTCTAACCTCACCTCACTAAAGGCGGAAACGGTGCGGCAATATATATTGTTTTTCGTCTACGTCTGCGTGACCAACAATCGCACTACACGATGGAACGGATTTTATAGAAGACGCGTGACATTGGCTTATCAGCGATGGAAC